TGTCATGGAATCTTAAGGAAGTGACCTCACTTCCTTAGTGATGGACCGCAACAGAACTTAGAACTCTGGTAACCATCCAGCTCACTTGGCAAGCAACTGCCAAGAGAGAAAGATGTATTCATGTTGTATCCCGAGTTTTCAACGATCTCACCTCAGGAATTCCTGAAGAGAGAGCCTATTGAGACGATGGAGACATTGGCTCCATCGTCCCCTCCGATGCCTGTGGCCGTTTGGCAGGGGGCACTGCCAGGTAACACAGGGCAGCCCAATCCAGGACAGTCCACACCTGTGATCCCATCTGGGCAGTTTTTCACCACCTTCCAATCACCGTGTGTGTGGGTGTGTGTGTGTGTGTGTGTGTGAAAGAGAGAGAGAGAGAGAGAGAGAGAGAGAGAGAGAGAGAATGAAGAGTATAAGAGGGGCCCCTCCCGAACAGGAGCTGGTCATTAGGGGATGAAACCCTGGAAGGTCTGTCCATGTCTCACGTTGTGGCTGGCAGGATGGGAAAGTAACCGTTAGGGACCAAGTCTGTATCCTCAGAAGTAAATCCTGAACCTCTAGCTGTTTATCTGGTTTCCTCCCTGGCTAGAGGTCTATGCAGATGCTCCTCTGTGCCTGACCAGGGGGGAAAGAATTTCTAGTCGGGGTATCTCCCATGGACACAAGCAGGAGGCTGCTGACTCTCATTGGCCCAAATGCCGGCCACTCTCATTACAGAGCTCCACGCAGGACAGCACCGAGGAGGTGTTTGATGGGTCCAAATACTCCATCTCTTTGGACAAGTGCCAGGTGCACCATGTCACCAACCAAGGCCAGCGCTGGTCTAAGGTGAGAGCAGGCACAGAGAGGTCTCCACAGACAGGAACCCAAAACGACCAGAGTGGGCCCAAGACCCCGACCCAAATATGGGCACTCCCCTGGAAACTATGCTCAAGCGTTCCCACTGGAGTGACCCACAGTCCCACTCCCACAGGAATCTGGCCTCTAGCACTACCCACTGGCAACTCGCTTAGGTGCAAAGTCCCTGTCCTCTCACTTGCAGGACTATAAGAGTAGGCACTTTTGTGTGGTTTCACTCTACACTAGGCCGTGAGTATCTTTGCTCGTTGCCACTCTTCTTACTGTTTTAGCCCCCACCCCAGGTGTCCTGTGCAGCTGTCAGCCCCACTGCCTCCCAGGTCTCCTCCAAGACTTACAAACCATCACTCTGAAGGGGAGGGGGTTGTTCACATACACAAAAAAGAGAAGTCACACAAAAAAGGGGGTCTGGCTGTTCTATACATTTGTCTGCAAAGGGTCATCTCACAGAGCACATCGCTGGAGCCCCACCAGGCCAGGAGCTGTGCCATCCCATGTCTTCATGTTTTCCTGTAACAGAGGCCATTCTCTCTGACAGTTCAGTCTTTCGGTGCCGGTGGAACGTGACACAGTTCAGTTGTAATTTCCATTTCAGCCACGCTGCAGAGAACATCTTATGTGTGCCCGACAGACTGTGTGAGCTGGCTAGGGATGCCATAACACAGTATCACACACTAGAGGCCTCTGACAACAAAAATATATGTTCCCACAATTCTGGAGGCTAGAAATTTGATATCAAGCTGTTGGCGGAGGTGGTTTCCCCTGAGGTCTCTCTCCTGGGCTTGTAGATGGCCACGTTCTATATATCTGTTCACATGCTCTTCTCTCCTGCTTCTCTGTGTCCTTACCACGCCTTCTCATGAGGGCCCGTGTCATGTCAAATCAAAGCGAACACTAACGAATTTACTCAAACTTATTTGCCTTTCGAAAGACCTGTGTCCTACCGCAGTCATCATCTCATGCACTGGGTATTACAACATCAATTGTGAATTTTAAGAAGGGAATACAGTTCAGCCCAGAACATATAACTAATCCCCTCCTAAAACAGCCTCTGGGGAAAGGGATTCCTGGGTGAAAAGCTATGCACGTGTAACATGTTGATAGCTAAAGCCAGATGACTTTCCAAAGTGATGTAGCAGGTGCATGGTCAGCAGCAGTCTCAGAACGGAGCTGCTTCCCTGCCTCAGCCTTTCCTGGGTGTTAACATTCTTTTCAATATTTTGCCCATCTGGAGACCTTGTGGCAAATAAAATGACCATTTATTTTTCTTCATTTTCAACCTCGCAACTGATACGTCTCAGTCACAGTCAGCCACTTACCAGCCACTTGACCTTTCTTTTCCCTGAATCATCTGCTCGGATCTTGGCACTGCAATGGGCTTCCTCCTGCCCTAGAAGCTGCCAGCATTTCCTCTGTGCGGCATCTGGGATCACCATGGCTCGCTCTGATGGAAATGAAAGGAAGACAATTGTGTTGTTTAAATTGTGAGGGTTCTCTTCAGGTGTCTTTCTCTGCACACTGTCTCCAAAATGGGGAGGAAATGAGGTTCCCACCGCCCCCTTCCTTTCCATGCCAGCAGCAGACCAAGCCCCGGGGAGCTCAGTGGGAACCTGCAGCCACAGCGGAGGACAGTTCTCAGTGCTGACCTGTGTGCTGTCGAGCAGCCACTGACATCCAAATGCCTGTGTTTCCTGTGGCTACAGTGGGAGTCATTTTTCAGAACTCACTGGGACAGTGATCTCTATGCAGGCTACTAATACAGGCAGTTAGTTGTTCCATAGCTAACAAACTTCATTGAAGATACTGCGAAGGTACTATCTTCTTAGTTCTTTTCTGTCCCCCATGTCGAATTTTACTTTGAGAGCCTATAATCTTTTTCACGATGGACACTCCTGTCTTCCACATGAGCAGATCCCTAAAGGGTTGGGACTTCCTGGTCTGAGCTCCAGACCCCAGTTCTCTGGCGATTCATGGTGATGACATTGAAGGCATGTCCCTCCTCGTTCCTTCCAGGATAAAAATGGTCATACCCTGGACTTACAAGAGATCCACGTGATGCGGACCCTCCAGCCAGGCACAAGGGCGAAGCTGGTGGAGTCCCTGCTGCCAGCTCTCCAGGGCAGAACCATCCGCCACTTCTCCACCTTCCTTTGCTTATACTGGGACCTCACCACCATCCCACAGTTCCTGGACCAGCTCTTCAGTAGGTGAGTGCCCGCCCCCTCCAAGGAACCGTGGTGACTCTGCCACCTATAAGCTGCGTCTTGAGAATGCCACTGCAGCACGCTGAGCCTCAGTTTGCTCCTCTGAGAAGTGGGGGGGGGGCGGTAAGAGGATGAACCCCATAGAGTCTTTATAGGGGCCAAATGGCATAAGACATGACAAGGAGATGCCTAGTGCCTGGCTCAGCTGGATGCACTGTGCTTGTTCATATTTATTATTTTTCTTTCCCGTTTGGCTGAAAAAGCTCTCTGCCTCATGCCCCTATGGCCAGTGTCTCTCTGAGTTTGCAAAAGCCCAGAGAAGGCATATCTGATGTAGCACTTTTATTTGAGATTTCTTCTAACTTGTCTTTGTCCTTGATAAAGAAAGAACAGGCTCCATTGGCACCAGAGGAGGGGACCCCAGGTCCACTCAGATATCTGGGAATGCTCTGGTTGGGGCTTACTTATTCAACACATTTATAAGCCCTTCCTTTGTAAAGTCACTTTTCTAGACACTTGGCATAATTCAGTGACCAAAGCAGACAACAGACATTGGGTCTCAATTCTAGTCACGGAGTGAGATACTCACGGTAGACACTGTGAGCAAGCCACCTCCACAGCATGTCAGTTGTGACGCCCTCGTGGCCTCCTCAAGGTGGAGGTGCATTCTCCTGTGTTCTACCCACAATGACAGGCCCAGCACCCAACTAGAAAGTATGTGGACTTTTGATCCAGAAGAGAGCTCACTGTACCCCAGAGTGCGGGGGGACATATGGACCGTGGCTGGGGAGGGACTGACAAAGCTGTGAATCTGAGACAACTTGTAATTCACACGAGGGCGCTGAGGTCTGTGGGCTTTCCCTGCAAGTGAAAAGGAGTCAAACAGAGCTGTGGATAGGGGCACAGGCTCTCTGCAAAGCAGGGGGAGTCTGGGGCTCACCGCCAGCTCTCGAGAGACACGTCCCCAGGACAGTGGCATCCTAGCTCTGCCCGTCCTCCATCCCACCTCTGTCCCTCCTGACCCAGACAACAGGGCCTCAGGCCTGAAGTTATTATGAGCAACCTGCCCACAAATCTGCCTGGGGCCTTGGTCCTTAGTTCACAGGTGCACATAGGTGGGTGTCCCGTCCCTTCAGAAAACCCATGTGAGTGTAAGGGTGAGGCTCACAAGGGTCTGTACTTGTCCTGTCTAATGGCCAGGTCTGCCACTGTCAGGACAGCCGCACAGGGCTTCAGTGGGGGGCGTATCCTCCAGACAGGCAGTGGCAGGCTCAGGGGCCCAGAGCCACACAAGCATGCCCTGGGAGCATAGCATGGAAGGAAAGGCCAGCCTCTGACTTTGCTGCCCACTCTCACACTTCCAGCACCATCTGTCACACTGTGGTCACTATGCCGGAGCGTTTCTGCACAGATTTTCATCAGCCCCTTCACTTTCCATCGTTGAAAGTTAAGATCGACCATGTGCAGGTCAGCCGGCCTGGATTGGACACGGGTGCCCTTGTGTATGTTCTACTTACCAACCTGAGGCATCCAGAGCTCTTTGAGGCAGAAACAGATGGTGAAGGGACCGCAGTCTGGAAGAATTACCAGGGGTGGTGCTTTGGGGCTAGAACTCCCTTTAATGCAGTCAGATCCTTTCTGTGTTTGGAAAGGCCAGTGGGAAATGACTGATGCTGGTGAACATTTTTTTTTTCCTGCTCCTGCTTCATGTCCAGAGCCACAGGCACTTCCCAGGAAAGCTCAAGAGCCAGTGCCAGCACCTCCGGTAGAGCTGGGGCCTGCCCTGCACTCAGAGTCACCTGTACAACTGAGTCCACCACCAGCTTCAGTGCCAGCACCAGTGCCAGGAGAAGAGCCACCACATGTGAGAGGACTGAAGCTAGAGGAACCTTCAAAGCCCTTGTGCCCCTCTCCTGTGGCAACAATGAACCGGCCCCGTGTAGACACGTGGGACATCAGGGCATTCCCTCCTAAGCTGCTGGCAGAGCAGCTGACTCTGATGGACATGGTGAGCAGCTCGCCTCTGCGGGGGGCGGGGGGTTGCCTAGACAGGCTGTCCTTCTTGCACCTGGTGTCCCAGACAAGCCACTACTCACCAGAGTCCAGTGATCTGGGTCCAATACCAGCTCCACATCTTACCAATGATGTGACCTGGATGAGTTTCTTCATCCCAAAGCCTTCCCTGTCCACATGTCAACAGTCGAGTTGAGACATCAACAGTACCAGTTGCAGAGGGACCGAAGCTAAAATGAGATGGGACACAGAGAAAGCAGCATGGGGGCCTGGCTTATCTGGTGATGGAGGGTGCTCACTGAGGGGCAGGTGGGTTCAGGAGTTACCCACCCATCCTCCCATGTGACCTCAGCAACCTCAGCACTTCTTAGGACCTGATACATACTAGATTCCCTAGCAGACGCCCAAAGAGAACCCGTAGTTATAGCTGCCACAGGCAGTGCACATCTGAGTAAGGAAATAGAACAAAGGGCTGATCAGGATGCACACTGGATGCAGCCTCAAGATGAGCACACCCGAGCCATTTTCTAGTGCTTGGAGTTAGTGAGAACGGCCTGCCTGACAATGCCACTCGTTCCTTGCCTGCCACTATTAGCTCTTGGGTGCCTTTAGTGGGCACATAGTCAGATCCAAACTCTTTCACAAGAGTAGCCTGTGTGACACACTCTTCCTCTCCAGGAGCTGTTTAGGGAGGTGGCGCCCTATGACTGCCTGGGCTCCATCTGGTCCCAACGCACCAAGAAGGGAAAGGAGCACCTGGCACCCACCGTTCGTGCCACCGTCGCCCAATTTAACAATGTGGCCAATTGCGTCATCACCACCTGCCTTGGAGATTACAGCATGAAGGCCCAGGACAGAGCCAGGGTGCTGGAGCACTGGATCAAGGTGGCCAGGGTAAGCCGTGGGAGGACCCAGGGGATCCCCTCTCTGCAGACTTGGGAACTGCCTTTTATTTACAACCACCATCATCAGGGTAGTCGTGTGTGGTTAAGTCCCTTCACAATCCCTGGGCCTTTCCTGTCAGGGCACTCTGGCCTTGACCCTCATGTCCTGGTGGTGGAGGCTCACTTCCTATCTGGGCTCTTGGGTTGAGCTAATATCCTCCCTCTGTGAGTTCTGCTCGTTGGGTTCCAGCTGTGCCCTCCCATGGCTGCCCGGGCCTCTGCCTCATCCAAAAGGGGAGATGTCAGCCGAGGGGCTGAAGCTGGAGCAGGTGGGCTCCAACTCTCCACCTCCTGGTTCATTCTCTTTCCTCCCCAGGAATGCTTGGTCCTCAGGAACTTCTCCTCGGTCCACGCCATCCTCTCCGCTCTGCAGAGCACACCGATCCATCGAATGAGAAGGACATGGAGAAAAGTTTCCAGGTGGGTGGGCCTCTTTCGGTAGGAGCACGGGGGTGGACCAGGGACCTCCCACAGGTTTGGGCATTGCCCCCTTAATGACCCTGGCAGGGACTGGGAGGTCAGAGGCACTGAGGCAAGAATGGGCTCATGACTAGGGTCTCTAAGACTCCCTGGGAACTTAGCCCAGGATTTCTTACCACAAGCTAAAGTTTCATTTTGCTTTGTTTTCTTCTTTCATTAAGTGTCAGGCACAGGGTTTTACCAAACTGGCAATTTCAAGTGTTTGCTATACACAATAAGACCTCGTCATACTCACATCTAAACTGTAACACAGAGCTTCTCAGTTGAAATGTGGACGGGGCCCAGGTGACCAACATGAGAGCCCCTCTCCCAGGGCCCCGGAGCCCATAGGACTCAGAGGAAGCCAGCTGACAACTCTCCTCAAGGCAGTTTGGATTGTTTGCAGTCTCAAAAAAACAAGCATACAAACGAACAAACAAACAAAAAAGCTTGAACTTACACGTCGCCCATTATTCCCAAATTAATCTTTCTTTCTTTCCCCTTCACAGAAAAGGCTCCCATAGTTTNAAAAAGGTAAAGTAGAGGCTGGGAGATGGGGGCAGGTGTTTGGGGACATAGGCAGAGGTGAGTTGTTTTGTGTTGTTGTTCTGCGTTTTGCTTTCTCACTGAAAGTTGACAGGAAAATTTCAGTCCCATCTTGCGTGGACTAGCAGGAGAAGGATGTGTCTGCCGTGGGCAGGTGGAGAATGTGGCAGGAGCCCCCTGGTGATGGGACGCAGTGATGGCAGCCGGGCTGTGCAGGAGGGCAGAGGAGCTGCAGAAGCAGCCGGTGTCCACTTCGCACACTGCTCCATCCTGTCGGCACGTGGCTTTCTTCAGGCGGTTGGTGGGTGCGCTAGGCAGGGCTTCCTTCGGCAAACTAGCCCAGCAGTTTTGAGGAAGCCAGGCCTCTGCTGCTGCTGACTGCATGGCACCTCCGTGGGGTGGGGACACCCGCCTGCACCAGGGACGTGTGCAGCGGAGAAAACCGGCGGGCCGGATCATCAAATGGACAGCACAGTTTTGGGGCCCAAGGTGCAATTGGGGCAGAAGCATGTGATTGCTGCTAGTCCCCACTGTGCCCTGTGCAGACAGTACTAATCAATCACAGCCCCAGGATTCTCACCCCTGTGCCACGTTAGCAGGGACGTGTGCGCCAGATGAGTCATGAGAAGTACCTAAGGGACTCACACATTTCTACAAGATCCTTCCTGACCAGATCATAGAACTTCCCACATAAAGGAGTCAGAAACTGTCGCCGGCCAGTGCTCCGGGAATCCTCTGCCCTGCTGTCTCGGGAGACCCCATCCTGAGCGGAGGAAGAGAGGGTTCTGTGCAGGGAACTCTCTCGGTGCATTCCTGGGGAGGTGAAGCCTTTGACGTGGCCTCAAACCCAGCGCTGGGTGCACAGATATCAGTGGTGCTGGGGTGGGCAGGAGCCCCTAAACCAGGCTCCTCAGAGCACGCTGTCACTCCTTCACCAAGGCTGGGCCTGACTGGGAACCTGGAGGCTCACAGAGAGCCCACAAGCCGAGCCCCTCGCCAGTGCTGGTGCTGGTGGGTGGGGGGAAGGCAGCTGGGTCCCGGCCTCCACTTGCTGGGGAGGAGTCAGCTTCTCCCGCGAAGCCCTGGGCAAGGCACACCCCCACCTCTGGCTTCTGTTTTCTCACAGGGAAACCCTAGGGATGACAAGCCTGTAGTGCAGGCCTCACAGAGTGGTGATGAGGTTAACGAGGCTCATGGTGCGTGCCTGTGTCTGCCTCTTCCTCCAGGGGTGCTGGGGACAGTGTCGAGGATGGTAGTAGGAGTTCTCAGAGGATCCTCTCCAGATGAAGAAACAGGGATGGGTGGCCAGGGTGCACGCCCAAGACCACGCACTGGAGAGTGTCACAGCTGGCATCAACTCTGGAACCAGAGCCGCCAGAGGAGGTGGTGGCACTACACCAGCTCACGAGTCACATATCCAGAGTTGAAGGTCAGGCACAGGGGTGGAAATGGGTGAGGGGAAGACAGTCTCTTTCACTATCTTACAGTTTTCTGTTGCTTATAACAGAACACCTAAAATTGGGTCATTTTTAAAGAAACAGAGCTTTTTTTCTTACAGTTTAGGAGGGTGGGAAGTCCAAGCAGAGGGGGTACATCTAGTGAGGGTCTTACTCCAGGGGGGAGAGGGGACTCTCTGCAGAGTTAGGAGGTGGCACAGCGTATCAGATGGCAAGGGGGCAAGAGCATATTTCCACGCACTCTTTAGGAAGCCGCCATTCCATTTCCATGATAACCCAGGAACGAATTCTTTCATTCATGAGGGCAGAGTAATCCTAGTCCAGTCACCTCTTACAGGGCCCCACCTTTCAAACAGTGTTGTAGAATCTTCCACCCTCTTAATACAGTTACAGTGAGTATCATGTTTCAACATGAACTTTGGAGGGGACGTTCATTTGGACATAGCACTAACCTTGTCCCTGACCCTGCCAGATGGGGACCGTCAAGTTGGCCACCTTGGAGATGAACCATCAGAGAGCCCAGATGAGGCAGCGGCAGCAGAAAAAGGTGAGTGTGTCTGTGACTGGCAGGGGCTCTAGGGAGTAGATGACAGGGACCCCTCACTTCCAGCTGGAAGCCTCCAAATCAAAAGAGGAGAGAGCTTCCGCCCTAAGGGGCCTGCCTTCCTGTGGCCACAGCGTCTGGGATGCCTTCATTAGAGACACCACGTCCAGGACCTGGAAGAGCTGGCTCAGAGGGGATTACAGAGTGAGGTGTGGCAGGAACCACATAACCACTGTGACATGAAACTTTCACCACAGAGGTAGCTAGGGGGTAAACGGTGTCTTTGGACGCCAGCTTGGGAGAGAGCAGTGTGGCCACGGAGGGGAGGTGCCCGAGGTTTCTCTGTGGCTCCAAGTGGAAAACCTGGCTAGGGCGGGGTCCAGAAAGATGAGGTTGATGAGATTTTTATAGAATAAGCCAAGTGTGGACACCCCAGAGCTAGTGCTCATCACCACTACCACCCCAATGTCACAGGGTATCGTTCCCTTCCTGGGAACCTATCTCAGCGACCTGGTGATGTTAGATGCTGCGATGGACGACTACGTGGATGTGAGTGAGCCTGGGAACGGGCAGCTCGGGGGCCAGGATCCTGAGGCTGCGGAGGGGAGAGCCCTTAGAACTCAGCACTCAGCACACCTCCACTCATGAGACCTCATGGCTGCCCGTGTGCTGGGGGTGTCACGCCCTTCTCACCCGTGAGTGGTGGAGCCTGCATATAAGCCCCCAGTCCCTGTTCTCCAAGTTGACAAGATGCAGAGCTCAGCTTGACTCAGCCTCTCCCTTAGTTGCTTGCCAAGGGAAGAGAGTGAAATCCGGCCCCTCTGATGGCAGGCAGCTTGGGAGTGGCCAGCAGCCCCTTTTGATCAGAGGTTTCAGTGTCCTCACCTGTCATCAGGGAGGGTTGAGACAGAAGATCCTCGATCCTCAGCTCCAATGTCATCCTTCTCCAGAGCTCAGAGTGTGACCTAGGTGCAAGCCCTGTTTTGTGCAAACCCCCTGACCCAGGTGGCCCTGGCCTTAGTGCAGCACGGGAACGGGTGTGGGTGGGGCTAGAAATGGGCTAGGTTGCCTTTCTGAGAGACTCAGACCATCACTCTTTCAGGGAAAGGCGTTCAACACCCAGAAAAGGCGGAAGGTGAATAGCTGGGGCCCTCGCTCAAGGGAGCGTGGAGATGTGGATGTCAGAGACGGACGGCCCCTCTCACCCAGGCAGGACACTTCCTGCCTGCATCGCCTGCAACTCTGACTTATTAGGAAGATTTGATAGATGGAGGGGGGCATCCCATCCCTCTGGAGGGTGTGGGAAGTGGACAGCAATCAAGGACACATTTCTGGGGGACAGGCTGTTGGAACCCAACTCTGAGAACTTCTTGGGGCATGGATGGGGCAGAAGGAGAGGAGGGTATCACTTAAGAGAAAGGTCTGCAAACCAGCTCCCTGCTCCATCCCTCCCCCGCAAGGTCCCTTTAGCATCTCCCACCCAGGCCCTCTCAGCATCCTGTGTTTTACTGTGGCCCCAGGAAATTAAAGTCCTCAGAGAAATCCAGCTCCTCTAGGTGGCAGCCAACAATTACCACATCGAGAAGGACAAAGAATTGGGACACTGGTTTACCTCCACTGAGTGGCTCAGTGACAACGAGAGGTAGGGGCCTTGCAGGAATTTGATGATAGTCAGGGCATAGGGTACTCTTTCTGGTGGCAGCTGCAGAGAGCCTGGGGCCGTGGCTGTCTGGTCAGCCACAGACCCTGTTGCATGGTGACCACTGGGGCACCAGGACTCCAGTTACGAGGCAGGCACTGGGAGGGAGAGCTGAGGTGTGGCTCCCTGTAGACTCGCAGCTGCCTCTCTGTCCTGCAGCTACAAGCTCTCCTGCCAGCTGGAGCCCCCCTCCCACTAGGCCGGCGACACCCTCAAGGTGAAGAAGAGCAGGCCCAAGGAAGCCAGACAGCCGCAACTGCGTTCCCAGCTCCACCTCCGACCAGCCCTGTGACTGGGGCAAGCTGATC